CTACATTGCCAGAGGCCACACAGTGAGGCAGTGCCAAGGACCCTTTGTCTTCTAAGACTTCTAAGTCTATCTGTGTAGCCATTAGCCAGAGGCTTGGCCAGAGAAGGCTCTTAGTAGCTGTACTTACCCTGCACCTTGGCCATCTCTCAAAAGGGGACTGAGCATGCCACTGGGTAGTGCTACGTTAGGGCAGAATCTCTCTGTGCTTTGTAGCATTAGCAACAGGTGCAGCAGGCTGCCGCAGGGACAAGTGGAGGCTTAGAGGCTATGAGAGTTGGGGAGTAGAACCATCAGGCAGCCCAGAAACTTGCTGAGGGCCCTGAGGCTGCCAAGCCAACGCAGCAGGATTGCCCAGCGAGCCCCGTGCGCTGCCCCATAATCTGGCGGATCCCATCCAAACCTCCGCTGAGGAGCACAGGCTTGTCCCATGATCCCTGTGAATAGGCAGGAAGGTGGGATGGGACTGTACGTGAGACACACCTGCATGGGTGCAAGGCCATGATTTGTGTAGGTGTTCACCCGAGCTCGCGGATATGAGCATTTTGGTAACTCCATGCAGCATCTAGCCAAAGACAACGTCTTACTTGACTCCTTACTTAAACAGAATTGAACTTTAATTTGCAGCCAAAGAGAGGACTTGGAAAAAGATCAAATGAGGAAACCCCTTGAAAGTGATTGTTAGGTTTATGAATTACACTGGAGGTATTTAGCTAAGACCCAGCATTCTCTGTAACTGGATACGTAAAGTCCACGAAAATTAGAGGATAAGACTGCAATTAAGACTTGACAGTTTGTTATGAGAATGCATGAATATTCACCAAATATTGAAATTTATTTGATAGCTTTATTGAACCTTTTATTTATAAAGGGAGGATGAAAACTAGAAGGTAATGAGAAGTTCAAGAGGGACTCGAGATAAAATGGGTCAGATTGTAGTTTTCACGAGTGATCCTGGTGATGGGAGCCACACCCATGGGCCTCGGAAAGCCTTTTATTTGCTTCCTATTTTTCCCACGGCCAAAAGGGCGTGTGCCTGGTGTACCCTTTGAACAAGAAGAGGAAGCACAGAGTACATTACAGGAGGTGTCTGAACAAATCCCTGTAACCTGTGCATCTAGGCGTCCTGCAGAAATGATGTATCAGAATACACATATTCCCTTTGGAAACTGAGCTCCTAGGAGGGAGAAACCGGGCAGGGTTCTGCATGGAGCCTAAAATATGGGCTTTCTCAGAAAGCACAAAGTTCTGTGGCAAGTAAAAAAGGTCAGTAAACCCAAGGATGGCCCCAAGGAGCAGAACTTGTGACCTGTCGAGAGCTGAGAAACAACAGGAGTGGGCTTATGGCATTTGATTAATGCGGACAAGTTAATGAAGTAGCTGGAAGAATGCACAAAGAGAGGATGCAAAAAAGGGGTGTGAGGGAAGGTAAGAGGATTAAAGCTGCACAAACATTCCCTTAATGGATTTCTCAAACACACCAGCCTACAGGCAAGGGCAGATGTCCTGTCAAACCATTTCCCCATGAAACCCTATCCACCTTTCTGCGGGGGAGGCCTGCTAACCCCGTTTGTAAGTTTGTAATGGAAGGGCCTACCCCTTATTCCACCCAGCGAAGCAGACTGAGCAGCCCGGGCCTCGCCAGGAACCCAGCCAGCATGTGACAAAGGGACCTGGGAACAGGCTGGTTTCCTTCGCAAGCGCCAGCAAGAGCTCCTCGCTGCATCTGCCCGTCTGATGGCCGATTAGGCTGGTATTGATCATGAAGCCTCCACCCCCTCCCCGGTTCCTTTCCTGCCCCAAAACACTAAGAAAAGGGGGTCCTCTGGTTTTCAGGTCATTCATCACTTCATTACTCTGCCTTTGATCCTTAGTGAAACTGAAGTTTTACTGGAGCGGCCAAATTGGGAGTGTTTGTCTGGTGAAGCAACAGCTAAGGCTTAAGTTTAGGAGGCACAGGGAGGGGACAGGGCCAAGGACCAAACTGCTGCTTATTTGTTTTGAAGCCAGGAAGGCTTGCCTGCCAGTCGGCCCTTGTGGGGAGCTGGACGTCCAGCTGGGGTGCCCTCGGTCCTGCCCGCACGGCTGTTGTGCACATGTTGGCATCAGAACAGAGGGGCTGTCTGGCCACATGGCTGACCGGTGCCCAGCTTCGTGCTCCCCCACTGCACAGCCTTCTGTCTCTGACAGAGCAGTTGTCAGAGGGCGCAGCGGGAGCCAAGAGGGGCCTAAGGGGGGCACGGTATTTTCTAGCGCTGGGTTGCTGAGGAGGGTGCACTGAGGGGTGCATGCTCCATGCCTGCATAAGCCCTCAACTGTACAATGTGTAGGCACCCGGGGCCATTAACATGGAGATGGTGTTCTGGTGCCAAACTCCTTTCAGTTGCTCACATCTTTCTTGCAAAATAATCTACTAGGTTTAAGTATATTCTTGGCTTGGGGCAAATTTCCTTGGAATGAGGTAAAGAAAAGGGGAGGGGAAAAAGCTCTTGGTGGAGTAGTTTGGGATTTATTAGACCGTGGAAGAGAGCGCTTCACAGTGCCTGAGGAATTTTCCAGATGCCCCTAAGCTCACAATCATTCACAGCCCTCTTTGTGGGGAGCCTCCTGACTTGGCAGGTACAGGGCACACTGGCCTGAAGGAGGATTAAGGCCTTTGCATTTTTTAAGTGAATTGCTGTCAAAAAACAAAGTTACCAATACTTAACTGAGCTCAGCCAATCCCTTTCCCATAGTCCAAACCTTCCTCTGCTCTGAGAAAACTCATTAGCTGTCTTGGCTGAGGCTCAGCCAGGACTGGGCTACATAATTTGTGGGGCCCACTGCAAAATGATAATGGAGGGTCCCTTGTTCAAACATTATTAAGCATTTTAAGATGTGGGCAACTGAGCATTAAACCAAGTGTTGGGCCCTTCCAAGCACAGGGGCAGGTTGCACACTCTATGAAGCTGGCCTTGGTCTCAGCCTTTCTAACTTTATTTATTTAGCAAGGACTTAGAGAGCATTTGCTGTATCGTAAGTATGGTACATACAGTAGGGCTTGGAGTTAGGGTGGGGAGTGAAAAATTAATAAGTTTCCCACTGGGAATTTATAATTTAGTTAAGGTCAGATATCACACCTACAAAATTTAAAAAATGGTGAAATAATTGTCTAAAAGCTCAGGGGCCCCTACACCTACTCAAAGGAATCCAAGAGAGATCTCACCTTGACCCACAGGCACTGCTCTTGCAGCCTGGAAAGTAGAATGGAGCAATAGAAGTGAACCAGGCGGTCTGTCAGCGTTTTTGCCACACCACGCCGTGAATAGCATGTGTTTCTTACTCCACAATTATTAGATCTATTTCACCTCTTTCCTATGACCTCGGAAGTAACCGCTCAAAGAACATTCTATTTTCAAAATAGCTTCCATTGGCCACACTTAAATGATAAAATGTTTATAGAGCAATATGTTGGGCTGGGTCCTTTGAGCTCACAGCACAGACCAGCTCAGCCATGAATTTGAGTTCACAGACAACATGAATGGGCATCTTGCACCTAATGTGCGAGGCTCGGCTTCCAAGCTATTCGTTCATTCAACGCTTACTGAGCGCCTGCTTGGGCAGGGCCTGGGTTAGATTCAGAGGACACACAGATGAACAAGACTCGGTTCCTGCCCCTAAAGAGTTCACAGTCTAATATTGTAATCAAAGGGACAATGATCCTTTCATAGAAACAATAGGGCTTTCCTGCCTTGGGCTGGCTAAGAGCTTCTGGAAAGTTCCATTAAGTGGGAAACCTCCTGACCTTGTTGAGTACCTTGATCACTGGGCTCTCCTGTGGTGACAGTAGTTTGTTTTTGGTAATTATCTCTTGTGTTCTGCGGGAAACCCGATTCTCACCCTGAGTCTCCAGTGGAAACAACAACATGGGCAGGTGGCGTCTTGCAGGGAAATCTCAGTGAGCCCTGGTGCTGTCAGTTCTCAGGAGCTGAAGCGGAGTTCAGTGTGGTCAGCGTTCAGAGAGGGTGCCGCGGGGCTGGGGACTTTTATGAAGAGAGCGTGTGGGTAAAATGCTTTCATCTGTTTTACTCTCCAGTAATGTTATTTCTTCTCTTAATTCAGCTACAATCCTGAAAACCAAATTTCTAGTTTGGAATGCAGTTTTGATGTACAAATGACCCCTGTTTTGTTCAGCAATGTGATTTGCCTCATACAGAGAGGGATTTGTTGTTCGGATGCGTGATTGTTTGAGAAACACCCTGCTCTTGTTCAGTGGACCTCCACCCTCTCCCAGCTTAGACCCCGAGGAGCCAGGTCAGGAGAGATGGCTGTGAAGCTGCTAGAGACCCACCTTCCGTGGTCATCGGGCCACACGGGGTGCCGCCTGCCGCCCACCCGCAGCCCTGCTAAGGAAGGATCCTCCCTGGTGTAGGTGTAGCTCCTGGGTCGCAGCAATCAGCCTTCCAGTTGTAACCATGGCAGATAATCGAGCAGAGTCCCAGGCCTGTCACCTGTCACTCTGGGTGTCTGAGAACAACCTGGGAAGGCTCTTCTTGACGGAATTAGGGAAAAGACATCAGCATTATTTTTTCATTGTTTCCTTCAGTCTCCATTGCTGAGTCTCTGACAGCTGTGCAGGGACACTGGTACCCTGACCACGGCCCACTTCCAGGGTGGATGAGCAGGGCTAGCTCCCCGCGACACCTCAGTGTAACAGAAGAGGCTGGCCTGAGTCCGAGGTGCCTCTCGATGGCACTGTCTACACTGCCCCCCCGCCCCCGCCCCCAGCTTATATAGACACCAAGTTGAACACCCATCGATGACAGGACCATGCATTCTATTCTCACGAGCTCCTGCAGATAGCATGAGGCCAGAGGACGGACGTGTCCCTGACACCCTCAGGGAGTGAGGTTCTGCAGCTATTTATTGGGACTGACGACACTGAGGCACAGACCTGCCCGGAAATGTCACACTGTTGCTTCCCTGCATCGGGGCCCAACCGGCACCTTCTCTTCTCTCCACAGATCTCCAGGACTTCAAGTTAGACGTGCAGCACGTGATCGAAGTGGATGAGGGGAACACAGCGGTCATTGCCTGCCACCTGCCCGAGAGCCACCCGAAAGCCCAGGTCCGGTACAGCGTCAAACAACAGTGGCTGGAGGCCTCCAGAGGTGAGTGAGGCCAGGCCAGGAGGGACGCTGGCCTCCTCCAACTGCCCAGCTAAGCTCGGTCAGCTGCTGCCTCCCAAACCCCTAAACACGCCAGCAGCCCTGTCCTCATGCTGGCCAGCTGTCTTCTCTCTAGATACTTAGCCCTGTAGGATCCTAAAGGAGGTAACTTCCACCGTGAAGGTCCTGTGTCCCACCGTGAGAAGTGTCTTCACCTTTGAGGGAGGCCCGGGGAAACGTTCCTGAGCTGCTGCCATTGGATCAGGGCTCTGGGCCCGGGGCTCCAGACGCTCCCTCTGCAAGCCCTGCGAGCAAACACACGCAGAACGGCTGCCAGCCCCGAGCTTCCGGTTCCCTGGTAGGAGGTGGAGCTCTTCCCGCACAGCAGAGCAGTGTTTTTAGTGGCACTTAGTTTTATCCTTCTTCCCCTGTGCCTGGTAAATGCAGTTACTTTGGCTATCACGGCCGCCTGCTCAGGCCACCGTGGACACGACAGCTGGTCCACGGGAGGCCACGCTTTGGTGCACAGGGTGTCACAGAGGAAGGTGCCACTAGAAGGCAGCTTCTTCCCACAGCTGACCCTGCACTCGAGGCCAGGTGGACCCTACTTGACCTCACCCACTGGGTAAAAATGTCTACCTTTTTGAACTATTCTATAAATGTTAAGATATTTTTATTAACTCTTTCTGGTTATGAAAGGAATATATATGTTCATTATAGAAAACTTAGAAAATACAGAAAACTTGTTCAAAAGGGTAAAAACCCTAATCCAACCACTCAGAAATAACAGCCTCTCACTGAGGAGACGAGCATTAATCCCTGCTGTCCCCAGCAGAAGCTTGGTGGCAGCCCCTAGGGGAGGCCTGGCCGTCCACAACAGCCAGGGGCTTTTCCCGCCTCACCGGGTACTTGCCTAAGCAGCTCGCCCCTGGTGGCCGAGCAGCAGCAGGCACCAGACTCGGTGACACCACCACTCCCAGGAGGGACAAAGGGACAAAGCTCAGAGTTGACAGCCAATGCTGTGCCTGCCGGGAAGCCGAATGCAACCCTGGTTACTGGGGTGTCCAGAAGCTTGAATGTGTCTCCCATCTAAAGGACCTGAACACACCCCAGAACACACCCCAGACCAGGAGCAGACAGAGCCTGACAGGGCTTTCAGTGGCATTCAAATGGTCGGAGGTTAGAATATTCCTCTCCAAGTAGCAGAAATTCAATAATGCGGCGACTCAGAGTCAATTCCCTACTTCCCAGAGGCTTGCAGTAATGATTATCTCATCTCCCATGTGTGCAGCATGGATCCCTCGATCCTTACAATGGCTCTGAGGAGGCATACAGTATGCTTTTTTACAAATGAAGAAACAGGATCAGAGAGGGTAATTAACTTGCCTAAGACCACACAGTTAGTACAAGGCAGATCCAGAGCTTAGGCCCAGGTCTAGCTGACCCCAAATCCTGCTTTCTTTCCACCCTCCCCCAGCCCCGTTGAAAGTACAGAACATTCTCCCACAGACCTGTGCGCTAACTCTGGGGCAGTCAGTTGGTCAGCCAGTTCATTAGCCGCTTAGTTACTTTCTCTCCCTGGCACTTCTGGCCCACCTGGTGCGAGGTTTCATGGGGAGAATAGCATTTTAGGTCTGGGCTTGTTGGCCCTGGGTCCTGCCTGCCCTCTGTCCTCATACCGCTTACCTCTGTGGGAGCTGCAGGGTGCAGCATTCTGGACTCGAACTCATCCCCTGTTCCCTTGGCCCTGCCCTTTCCACAGATAACTACCTTATCATGCCCTCGGGGAACCTCCAGATTGTCAACGCCAGCCAGGAGGACGAGGGCATGTACAAGTGTGCGGCCTACAACCCCGTGACCCAGGAAGTGAAAACCTCTGGCTCCAGCGACAGGCTGCGCGTGCGCCGTAAGGGCCGGGTCCCTTTTCGGCTGGGAAGGGAGGAGGACTCTTGGGGGCGCCACAGTCTTTAAACAGTGGGTTCTGTTCAGCTCAGCGAGATGCTCACTGTGAGACGCTCACTGCAAGAGACGCTCGGGACTGAGACCCACGGGGTGGGTAGGGGCTCGGCCGGTCCTTGTCACCCATCTCACCCTCGGCCTCGAGGGGCACTTACTAAGTGCAAGCAGGAAAGATCACCTGCACCATTTAAACTTTCCTTCTGCGCACCCTGTTCTTTCTGTCTTTGCCAACACACATAGTTAACCTTAGGAACAGGTGTCGTGCTGCTGCTACCACTCTGTTATTTCATTTCTTACTCATACGTAAGCCCTTGTTTCTGATAGGGAAGCCAAGGCCCAGGGGGATAAAGGAACTTGCCCTACTTTGCATAGGCCCTAAGCCCCCCAAGGGCTGTCTGATCCCAAATCACACCCCTGGAACTGCCTCCTGGCAGGATGTCCTGGCCCACATGCTGTCTGCCCTCGCCCCCCTCACCCCCCAGGCTCCACCGCGGAGGCTGCCCGCATCATCTACCCCCCGGAGGCCCAGACCATCATTGTCACCAAAGGCCAGAGTCTCATCCTGGAGTGCGTGGCCAGTGGGATCCCACCCCCACAGGTCACATGGGCCAAGGATGGGTCCAGTGTGACTGGCTACAACAAGACACGCTTCCTGCTGAGCAACCTCCTCATTGACACCACCAGTGAGGAGGACTCGGGGACCTACCGCTGCATGGCCGACAACGGGGTCGGGGCACCGGGGGCAGCGGTCATCCTCTACAACGTCCAGGTGTTCGGTGAGTGCTTCTGTGAGCCTTCTCCTTGGCCTGCTCTCTGGTCCGCACAGCCTTTCTAGAAGCATGTACCCCAGGCTCAGGGAAGGCTAGTGTCCTGTGAAGGCCACAAGTGAATGACAGGCGCGCTGAAGAGTCAGAGCTCCTCGGATCCCCGGGGGCTGAGGCATGTGGTCCTGGAGTCCTCGTTTGTCCCTTTCCTGTTGTGACTGTGATGGTGGAGACGTGGGACCTTTCCTTTCCTCTCCTGGTGCCCATTAGGGAAAAGCAGCAACCAAGGGGAAGGAGGGAGCCCTCCTCACCGTGGCCCCTCCACCTGGCTGGCCCTGGGAGGGAAGGCACAGCCCTGCTCACCCTGCTCTGGTTTCCCGGCAGAACCCCCCGAGGTCACCATGGAGCTGTCCCAGCTGGTCATCCCATGGGGCCAGAGTGCCAAGCTGACCTGCGAGGTGCGTGGGAACCCCCCGCCCTCCGTGCTGTGGCTGAGGAACGCCGTGCCCCTCACCTCCAGCCGGCGCCTCCGGCTGTCCCGCAGGGCCCTGCGCGTGGTCAGCGTGGGGCCCGAGGACGAAGGCGTGTACCAGTGCATGGCCGAGAATGAAGTGGGGAGTGCCCATGCTGTGGTCCAGCTGAGGACTGCCCGGCCAGGTGAGTGCAGCCCACAGGTCTGAGATTCCAGCAGAATCTGGGATTCCAGTCCCAGAATCCTTTTCTAGAAACAAATCCAACTTAAAACCCCAGTATGTAAGAGATAAAAGTAGCTTTTAGTTGTAAGTTCGAATTTACATTAACTTATTAATAAATCAGAAGTGTACGTTTTCACTTGTGAAAATGACTCATTTAATTATATTTTAAAAAATTTTTTTGTTTACAGAATCTAGTGGTTCCTTGGGTTCCACAGAACCCAGTTTGACAACCACTGCCCTAGAGCAAAGAAAAGCAGGTGTCCTTTCCAGCTTGCTTCATCCTAATGGATCCTGTACCGGCTGAGCAGTCGCCGTGTGCTTGGCACTGGGCTGGTTAACATGGCAAAGGTTCTCCCCTCGAGAACTTTCCTATGGAGGGGAGGAAGCTTGCCAAGGAAGCAATCTGAGAAAAGTGCAATGAGTAATAATGTGCCGAGTCAACATCATCAGGTGTCAATGTCCTGTGGTGGGGGAGGTCAGGTAAAGGAGAGACTCGTGCTGGCGGAGTCTTCGGAAGCTTCCTGAAGGAAGCGTTGTCCCCGCCGGCCTCTCCGTTTCTCAGTTGGCCTCACACCTGGAGTTTCAGGTCCCCTCAGCGGAGTAGGAAAAGGCCCCCTTGGCGCATGGTACTAAGATCCCACATGAAGGGACGTGCCCGTCCTCAGCCTAGACTGAGAAGGCAGGTGTAGGGTCCCCGCGCCTCAGGAGCAAACTGGGACAGCTCACTGAAGACGCACCTGGTGCGGACTCAGGGAAACAGCAGGCTGCAGAGATGCCCCAGCCACCGCTGTGGCCGGCACAGGCCAGGCTGCCTTCCCCTCTGGCCGGGCCGGGGCTCGCGGCCATTTCCCCCAGAGCCGGCCAGTGGTCGGGCGGGTGGTCGGCTCAGGTCTTCTTTCTGTGTCCTCCTTGGGGGCAGCAGCTCTGCAGGGCTCTAACAGCCTCTCCCTTCCCTCCTCTTCCCTGTTGATCATCCAGGTACAACCCTGAGGCCCCGGCAGGATGCCAGGCTGGCCACTGCCACCCCCCCTGCGCCACCCCCCAGACCCGGCCGCACCGAGCAGATGCTGAGGGGCCAGCCGGGGCTCCCCAGGACGCCGCCGTCAGTGCAGCCTGCCTCCCCGCAGTGCCCAGATGAGAAGGGGCAGGTGGCCCCTGCCGAGGCCCCCATCATCCTTAGCTCACCCCGGACCTCCAAGACAGACTCGTACGAGCTGGTGTGGCGGCCTCGACACGAGGGCAGCAGCTGGGCGCCGATCCTCTACTACGTGGTGAAGCACCGCAAGGTACAGCCGTGGCCCTGGTGGCACCGTGCCACCCTCTCCCCACACAGCCTCCTTTCACTGACCCGAGCGGGGTCGCCCCGCCTCCTGGGCGTTAAGCCTGCACCAGTAACCCCACGGCTGGGCGGCCTCTGTCTCCTCCAGTGCACATCTCCCTGCCTCCCGGGAGGCTGCTGCAAGATGGGCCTGTGGGGCCCTGGAAGGCCCAGGGGAGAGCCGTGTGTGCCCCAGGCCCGAGCTCTGTGCACCCGTTTCCCAGACACTCACACCGGCTTCGAGTCCCAGAGGAGACGGCGCACAGTCTCCTTGCTAACCGTCACCCTCCTCCCCTTTCCTGTGCCGTTAGTTGTTGATGTTGTCTCGTTTTGTGTTTTAACCAAAGTAAGCTCTGCTGGGTACATACCTGCAGGAACTCTGGCACGGCAAGCTAGCTCTAAAGCCAGGAAAACAAATATTTGTGAACAAGTGTTTTCTCTGTGGGCTATAAAATACCCCCTCAGTTCTCAGAATTCATCATGGCTCGTGTTTGACAGGCAGGTACTCGAGCTCAAAGCACATCGTGTTGTTCAGACCTCAGCTATTTCTCCTTGACAGAAGGAAGCCTGTCCAGGTGAAGGTTTTAGGAGCTGTCGGGGAGGGAGTCTTCAGGCTCTGACGGGCTGTGGGGACAGGGCTGATTGAGGCCTGTGGTCCTGACGCTGTGAGGCAGGACAGGGCCTCCAGCTGCCCCTGTCCCCCAAGGCTGTGCTCTTGCTACTGTGACCCCGCAGGGAAGAGGGCATGAAGCCTCTGTAAGAAAATGTCCTTGAAAACATTCCTGTTCACCCCAAGTATATGCTGCTTTCTTTCTAAGGCCATTAAACAGTTCTTAAATGGATTTTTAAAAATTTTATTTCATAAGTAATAGCATATTATAAATGCTAAGTTTCATTATGCATTATTATTATCTTGCTTATAAAAATACTATGTGCACTTGGTAGAAATTCTAATACGGAAAATAAGTGCATGTGGAACTAAAAGTATTTATTCACTTTTTCCCCCTCCCAAAACAAACAAACAAACAAACAAGAAAACAGAGCCAACCGCGCCCAGTGGAAAGCTTTGGCTGTGCAGAAGCCGGTTCCCTGCCTTGGACTCCCTACCCCTAACTTGTTCTGTTTTTTTCTTGTCACTTACTTGCTCTCCTAGAAGACCTTGGGTCAGGGCAAGTCCACAGGGACCGTGTGTTCATCAGAAAGACACCTGAGGCAGAGCAATCCCACAGCTGCCCCCTCTGCAGCCTCCCAGGTGGGGGCGTGAGGTGGGGGCAGTTCCTCATTAACCCCCCGCCTGCCGGCCTCTTCACAGGCAGCAGCAAAGGAGGGAATGAGTTTGTAACAAACTCGCCATTGTTCAGCTCCTGTTGCAGGGCAGGGCTGATCCTGATCCTTATTTCCCCGTGTAACTGGACACCTCCATCTCAGAGTTGTAGACAAAGATCCGGGCAGGCCAAACGCCCATGTTTCCCAGGAGACAAAACCCTGCATGATAGCAAGAATAATATTTTTCAGGCCAATAGGTGGCCACGAAAACAACCCCACACAAGAGGCAGGCTGGCAGAGGCCATGCCGTGGAGATCCGGAAATGCCAGGCTGAGGCTGCATTCACCCTCTCAGTGTGTGTGACAGTGACTAATTACCCTTCTGTTTCTTATTTTCATTTCTGGGCCCAGTGGAAGTGTGAGGCCAGCGCTAGGAGGGCAGGGGTGCAGGGGTGCGGGGGCACCTGCTGGGTCTGGCTTCCCTCGGGCTCCAGTCCGTGGGGCTCTTGGAGCTGCCATGCAGGCGTTGCCAAGGCAGAAGCTCTGGTTTGAAAACAGTTTCTTTCTTGCGGAACTAACGTGTCTTAAAGATCATCACCAAAAAAGAATTTTGAAATCAAAAGTCAGCCTTTGGGTTGTGTTTTTCCATCCCCCTTCTCTTGCTGGGGATTGGGAATCATTCAGCTAATTTTCACTTTTTCACATGCACAAAAGCAAGTTTCATTTCCTGGTGCATCTGCAGACCCTGGGCTACTGTGTTTGGGTTTCCAGCACCACTGGGGATTCTCAGTTTGTAAAAATTTCTCCCCTTGGAACAAGTCCTGGAACCTGACTTTAATGAGCCCAGACCGTCCCTGTGCCTTGAATGGTAGGTTTTGTTCTGCTTTGGAATATTCTGCTCGGGATAAGAGCTTTTCCTACCAGCTGTTTTCTTCCTTCATCAAACCACAGTGTCGGGTCCCAGCAGGCTCTCCGAGACGCGCGGGGCTGGCAGCTGACTCTTGTCCTGAAAGGTTGGGGGGAATGAGAAGCAGCAGCCTCTCAGCATCACCTGTTGGGGCGCCCAGAGCTCCCTTATTTTTTCTGTAGGTTTAACCAGCTAGGACGTGGAAGCCATGAAAGAGTAACTCATGATAGTTACTGATCATCCACAGTGTTGAAGTTCTAAGCAAGGACCAAGGGCAGGAGCAGACAAAAAGAGGATCGATATGACAGAAACCTCACTCACAGGAGCGTGAGGGGAGGATCCGAGGAAGGGAGCCCGCTGTGCACCAGGCTCAGGCCGAGGCACTTTATATGAGTCATCTCTTGACTCTTCAGAATAACCCTGAGAGATTTTATTTGTCTCATTTTAGAAATGTAAGGCTTGGGGGTCAGAGTTAAGGGGGTTGCTCAGAGTTGCACAAGCGGGACCCAGGCCTTCTGGCTCCCCGTCTCTTCCTAGGAGAGGGACGATTACGACCATGCGCTTTGGAGTCAAGTCACAGTCTCTGCGTTCACTAGCAGTGGGGCCTTGAGCAAATTACTCATTTCTCGAAGCCTTAATCTCCTCGTTTGTGAAGTGAAAACAACATTAACACCAATCTCTTGGGCTGTTGTGAGGAAAAATGAGGTTGTGCATATAAAGTGCTTAGTTCCGTGCCCGGCACATAGTAAGCTCTCAGCGAGTGTTGCTATTTTTACTGGTGCCGCTGCGTTTATTATCTTTCTCGTCATTGTCTCTCATTACAATATAAACCGAAAGAACTGTGTTTGTTTTAAATACAGCAAAAGAAAAAGGAAGTAAAACAGGGAGGTTTTGGGAAATACAAGGGAAGGAGGTCTTCGGAGAAGTTCTCGGCAGCATAAGTCAGGCCTCCCGGCATTCCCCACCAAGGTCACTTGGATGACATCCTTACCTGAGGCATCTGGAAGCCTGGCTTGACTGTCCCAGTGAGAGGGGTGTCCCATAGCCAGGAGGGCACCCCCCTCTGCCTGGCCTGTTGTCCTTGCCCTCCTCCGGCCCTCCTGGACTCAGTTCTGCTTTCATTGCAAACCACACCCCACCTGCAGCTCCAGGCTGAGATGCCGGTCCTTACACCAGCTACCTCCTCCAGCAGGTCACAAACTCCTCTGATGATTGGACCATCTCCGGCATTCCAGCCAACCAGCACCGCCTGGCCCTCACCAGACTCGACCCTGGGAGCCTGTACGAAGTGGAGATGGCAGCGTACAACTGCGCGGGGGAGGGCCAGACAGCCATGGTCACCTTTCGAACTGGTGAGAGTCAGACATCGACCCTAGCTTGGGGTTTCCATGGGCCCAAGCAAATCCCACCAGGCCCAGGTGGGAATCCCTGCTCTCCTTGCCCCAGCTACCCACCTTGAACTTTATTTTTTCTTCCCACTACTGCCTCCCTGTGGTTTGTTGCCAGGTAAGGTCCCATCTCTCATCAGGAGAGTCACCAGCTGGTAACTCAGGCATCCCTTTGTCCCCCTCTGACAGAGTCTAGCAGCAGTACCACGACAGAATCAGGCAGAGCTGGGAATCAGACCACACTTTCCACGCCCTGCATTCTTACTTGTATCACATTGTCACACCCCTCGGCAGAGTCTCACTGTGGGGAGGGAGACCTAATGCGCGCTCCCACCCTGGCTGATCGGAACCCATTTCCACCCAGGACGGCGGCCCAAACCCGAGATCGTGGCCAGCAAGGAGCAGCAGGTCCAGAGAGATGACCCTGGGGCCAGTCCCCAGAGCAGCAGCCAGCCGGACCACGGGCGCCTGTCCCGTAAGCCCCAGTAGCAGCCGGTTGGGGGGATGCCCGTGAGGACTGGGCTGCTCCCGAGGGCCACCGCTGCAGCTGGATGGGGTCCAGGAGTCCTTATGGCATTCTCCCAGTGTCTCCCCGGTTAACCACAATAAGGACTTATAGGTTGGAGCTTTTCAAATAAAAGCCTGGAGTGTGACGCTGGGGTTGCTGACCCGGTGCAGCCAGGGAGCAGCGGGCGGGTCTGGTGCACACCTGTGGTTGAGGCTGGGGAGGAGCAGGCCCTGTGGGAGCAGCCATGGCCAGTCGGAATACAGCGTCACGCCATCGTGTCCCTCCTGCTTCCCTCCTCAACCTGTGTGGTCTTCCCCAGCCCCAGAAGCTCCGGACAGGCCCACTATCTCCATGGCCTCTGAGACTTCCGTCTATGTGACCTGGATTCCCCGAGGGAACGGTGGGTTCCCGATCCAGTCCTTCCGGGTGGAGTACAAGAAGCTCAAGAAAGTGGGAGACTGGATCCTGGCCACCAGTGCCATCCCTCCCTCGAGGCTGTCCGTGGAGATCACAGGCCTGGAGAAAGGTGGGGGCCTGGCCACGCTCCTTCCTGATTCCCCGGAGGCCCTTCTCTGGCTGGGACCTCCATGCGCAGGCAGATGCAATGCCACTTGTGGTGCTTATCTCTGCCCACAAGCCCTTCCTGCTCCCTCTCCCGTAACAGGGCCCCGGGCCATTTCCCACAGGCTGCTCTCTGATGAGCTTGGGAGTTCTTGTGAGTCCTCTGAGGACTTGCTTTGGGGAAGGCCTGCCCAAAAGGTCCTTCAGGCCCTGGGCCTTGATAGGCCAGGGGCAATCGGAAGGTGTTTCCCACCTCCTGATTCAGTGCGTGTCCCTCTCACCAGGCACCTCTTACAAGTTCCGAGTGCGGGCTCTGAACATGCTGGGGGAGAGCGAGCCCAGTGCCCCCTCCCGGCCCTACGTGGTGTCCGGCTACAGCGGCCGCGTGTATGAGAGGCCCGTGGCAGGCCCCTACATCACCTTCACGGATGCCGTCAACGAGACCACCATCATGCTCAAGTGGATGGTAAGCGGGTCTAGCCTCGGATGCATTGGGAAGGCGGGCCAAGGCTTATGCTGGCAGGAGCTGGCTGCCCTCCCTGCCTGGGCGCTTCTCCTAAGACGCCTCCCCTACACGTCCCCCACCCGTGTGCCTGGGGGCTGGGTCCCCTGCTCAGTGGGAAGCCCGACTGGCAGAACTTGGGAGGCTCTTAGTGAGCTGGAGCTGCTGTCTGGGGGCCTTACCCTGGTAGACCTCCAAGCTGGCTCTCATTTTCATGTTATGTCCCACCCTCCTCTGTCCTTCCCCTGGCACCACAGGGAATCCCAGCTCAATTGTTCAGGGTCCCTTGTTAGCCAGAGATACTAACCCTCATATGCCCGGGAGAGTTCAGAGGGGATCCAAGTCTTCGGAGAAATGGCAATTTGTTCCTTCTCTCCAAAAGCCTGGGGACCTCTAGGCTAAAGAAAATATGAGTAATCTTCACAGCATTCTTCAGGGATCCTCAGGGTAGTGTTAGAAATATTTGTCATGGGCCCCCAGCGAAGGTTGAGCCCTAGATGGGGTGATTCCACACAGCAGTGGTCTTGCTTCGATGATTTCTCTGCTCCATTGTCAACTTGCCTCTTCTCCACCCTGTAGTATATCCCAGCAAGCAACAACAACACCCCAATCCATGGCTTTTATATCTACTATCGACCCACAGACAGTGACAACGATAATGACTATAAGAAGGATATGGTGGAAGGTGAGAAACGCTCCTGTGTCATGTGGTTTCCTCCACCGGCACGGGGTCTGGGTATTGGTGAAACCTGGTAAAGCATAAGACATGGGCCTGGGGTGACACGAAGCGTCCGTGCTCTGTATCATTGGCTCATCCATAACGCACTCAGGGCTGCCACTTCACTCGTGCACGCGCTTCCTTCCCATGGCGATGGGACAACAAGGAACAACTCCTCCTGGGTTCTTTACCCCGTGCCGGCCACTGGCACTGTCCCATACACACAGCACTGTCTGAGACTGACTGTGAGATCAGGGCCAAACCGCATACATGTCGCCACACACGACTCTCACTCTCTTTCCCAGGGGATAGGTACTGGCACTCCATCAGCCACCTGCAGCCAGAGACCTCCTACGACATTAAGATGCAGTGCTTCAACGAGGGAGGGGAGAGCGAGTTCAGCAACGTGATGATCTGTGAGACCAAAGGTGATTCTCTCTGGGCTCTTCTCTCCCTTCTTGCTGTTCCCAGCAAACCAGGGGCAAGTCACTGTTCCCTGTGCTATTCTGGGCACCTCTTTCCTAGGCAGACTTCTTATTTTCCAAGCAGCCCAGACTTTTATCATTTTTTTACTTTTCTATTCATTTGTGCCTAATTCTAAGTATGAGTGGGTTGCCATCATGATGACTTCAAGGAACTTGGGAACTAGATCATCCATGAACTTGTGGGATAGATCCCATTCTTAGGTTGGGAACTTCCTACAGTTACTTTATTCCTGAAGTAGCATTTGGCACTTACGTTGGTTGGTTCTTTGGTTCGTATAACTACAACCCCACGAGATGGGGAGGGAACCGAGCATCAGGAAACTATATACCTCGGCCGCACTCATGCGGCCAGTTAGTGGGGGAGCACACTTTGGACCAGGTTTGTCTCACTACAGGCCTGTCCCTTCCTGTGCACTGAAACATGTTAAACGTGTTCACAAAATAACTTGTTAATTTGCACATTGGTCAGGTGGGGAGATACTGTTATCTCCACTCTGCAGGTACTGAAAGTGAGATAAGCAGATATATCACAAGGAACACAATCAGAAGATCACAAAGTAGTAGGAATGGAGACAACACATCTCCTGTCACTGGGGCAACAGCTTTCTCTCTCCTGCCTCCCATTGCTTTCGGTCACTCAGCAGATACTTACCGAGCGCCTGCTGTGTGCACTTGCGCCCTCTGCGGCCACGTACGGTGCAGGGGCAGAGAGTTGCCCAGCCAAACCCTGCACCAGCCCACACAGAGCTGCACCAGGGGAAAGGACAGAGGCCTCAGGAAGCCACTGCACTGGCCCTCTGGGAGGATTGACCTGGGGCTAGAATGAGGAGGGAGTGGGTTGGGGGACAGGACCGGCCTGGGCACAGCCCCCGATGGCTGGAGCATCCAACACCGGGAAGCAGGAGGGGGAGTGGCGCTCAGGGAAGAGGCCGGACACTCCATGTCTGGTGGTGGGCACTGGGCACGCCGGGCTGTGAGGGTCCTTGCTGGATTTGCGTGTTGAGATGGTCCCTGGCTACCATGTAAGGAACAGCTGAGGGGAGAGAGCTGGGCCCTGAAGTTACAGGAGAGAGAAGGGATGGGCTTGGGTCACTGTCCTGAGGAGGGTGCAGGACCAGGACTGCTTGCTGGGCTGGGGGAGAGTGGAAGGAATTAAAAATAGACTGGTTTCCGGCTTGAAGTCCCACACGGGGTGATGGTGCCACTTACTGAAATGGGAAAGGCAAGCGGAGAAGCAGGTTTTGTGAGAAAGGAACAAGGAGACTTACTGAGTCTCTGAGTCTCTGGCGACATTGAGGTGAAGTGTCCGAGAAGCAGCAGGTCTCCTGTCGCAGGGTTCGTGGGGAGACTGACTTGGAAGTCTTCAGGATGTAGGTGGAAGGCGGGGGCTAGATAAGGTCGCACAGAGAGGGTATAAACCCAGAGGTGGCAGGAAGGTCTCCCAGCATCTGAAGAGGCAGAGAGCAGGGAAGGAGAAGTCAAAAGCTGCAGCAGCAGAGAGGCAGTGGGGAAATCAGTCGGGGGAGAAGGTGGCTGCGAGAGTCGGCAGTGCAGCCACGCCCGTAACAGGTGAGCAGTGGGCAGCCTTGGCTCTTCACCCGTGAATTGGCGTCTCACGGCTACTGTTTGTCCCAGTGAGTCCCAGAACGACTGTCTCCCTGCTCTGTGACCCCAGCTAATACCTAGGACCTCACCTCTCTCAACCCACCCAGCGGTAGCAAATTTTGGGGTTAATTCTTCCTTTGCCAGTCCTTTTGCTGGTTACATGCATTTTAAATAGTTTCTTCCCAAAGTTCACCAGTTATTCTTTCAGACAACACTACACACAACTTCTGCCCAAAGGACCCAGTTCCACTCTTGTGCTTGCCTCACAAACATCTCAGGTGTGTTGTGAAATATAATACCACATTTCACATTAGATGCCAGTGTCATGCTGAGTATGGCCACCATTCACATAAGGGATTTGGAGGCCCTGTCTGGTGACTTTGACCTCGTACCCTACACCCATGGAACTGGGTATTTTTGTTTTCTATTTGTTGTGAAGGAAATGTCAAAGAAATAGATATTGAAGTGAGTTTTGTCCACAGCTCGGAAGTCTTCCGGTCAGCCTGGTCGTCTCCCGCCCCCAACCCTGCCCCCGCCACAGCCACCACCTCCCGAAACCATAGAGCGGCCAGTGGGCGCGGGTGCCATGGTGGCGCGCTCCAGTGACCTGCCCTACCTGATTGTCGGGGTCGTCCTGGGCTCGATCGTCCTCATCATCGTCACCTTCATCCCCTTCTGCTTGTGGAGGGCCTGGGCTAAGCAAAGTGAGTGAGTGACCCTGCACCACAGCAAGGGGAGGAGGCCGGGAGGGAGAGGGGCGCCTCCAGCCCACCCAGGAGGCCCCGGCCCAGGGCAGGGTCCACGTGAGCTCACGCCCCGGGGTGCCCTGAAGAACACCCAGAGTCTGGGCCACTCCCTCCCGGCTCACAGACCTCAGGGAGGAGCGCAGAGAGCAGTGGAGGTTAACGGTCCTCTCCGCAGCTCTGGAGCTTGTTTCTCACTGGCTCCATCTTCCTCTAGTGTCTGAAGCTGCTCCTCAGACCTCATGTTCATACAATGGGCCGCCCTCAGCAGTCCCCCTCATCCTGGGCTAATCTGACTTTCAGTCACCAATTTCTGCTTCAAATGGCAATGCCTCTGGCCAGTTTGCCCCATTTGCCAAATACTGCTCCTTCTTTTCACTTACTGCCTCCTTCCCGCCAACCCCGGCTGCTGTGTCTCCCCACCTTTTCCTCCCTGCAGAAGAGTCTGATGTTAGGAGGAAGTGGGTGACAGGAAGGAGATACTGAGAGACAATGTTCTCCTTCCCTTGGGCAAGGTCAGCTCCTTGCCTACACCCTATAACCGATGTGACCAGGAGTTTCCTGAGGTCCATGTGGGGCTTGTCCAAGGTGCCCCCAGCTGCCCTGGCCTACACATGCCTCTGTCCTCTGTCCTTCCAGAACACACAACAGACCTGGGCTTTCCTCGGAGTGTCCTCCCACCCTCCTCCTGCCAGTACACTATGGTGCCGTTGGGAGGACTCCCGGGCCACCGGGCCAGCGGACAGCCGTACCTCAGTGGCATCAGCGCTCGGGCCTGCGGCGGTGCGGTACCTGTGAACAGGGGCTGCCCCGCGGCGGCAGTGGGCTGCCCAGGCGTGAGACCCCAGCAGCATTGCCCCGGGGAGCTTCAGCAGGTAGCGTGCTCCTGGGTGTGAGGGCAGCAGGCGTGGGACACCGAGGAAGGAGTGGCTGGTTGTCTCTTGGGGCGTCCTTTTCTCACCTCTCCTCCTGGGCTGTTGGGCTGGGCTTTCTTGGGTCAGGAACAGGTCATCCCGTTGGCCAGCGAACACCGGAAGTTACCTGGACTCCCTGACATGACCTTTTTGTTCTTCTTCCTTTTGAGCAGCAAAGTGAAACCAACAGCCTGCTGAGGCAGGCCGCTCTGGGCAATGGATTCGACCCCCAGAGTCACCAGCTCATCAGGTAACCAGGCCCCTCCCCGCCCCTGCCTTTTACTCCCAAGCCCCAGAGCCCCTTAGATCCAAGGCAGTCCCCGAGAGCCCAGGAGCAGTGCCGCACTCAGGGGGCCCCAGACCTGACACCCCTGCCCTGCTGGCCGTTCCCCTAATGCGTAGTCGTTTTGCTGGCAGTTATGATGTCCTTCCTGCTTGGGTGCGTGGGTTGGCTCCTCAGAACCCCCCTCCCTAGGCAGGCCGGAAACACCCGCCTACATCTGACTTTGCCCACAGGCCCCTGGGCACCCGGCTCCACTCACATCCTCTCGCGTGGAGGAACGTGGAAATGGACTAGAATTATGAGTGTAAACGATGGTGTGGTGCCCTTTATGCTCAGAGGCCTCCGGAGCCCTGCTGCCCTCAGACAGGGAGGCAGCCACAGAGGTGCGGGGGCCCGGCCCCCGCCGCCCCACCTCACTCCCATCTGGTCTCGTGTCATGCAGGGGGCCCAAGTCTAGCCCGGACGAGGGCTCTTTCTTATACACACTGCCTGATGACTCAACTCACCAGCTGCTCCAGCCCCACCAAGACTGCTGCCACCTCCAGGAGCAGCCGGCTGCCACGGGCCAGTCAGGCATGAGGAGTGTCCCCGAGTGTCCTGGACTGGAAGCAACATGGGGCTCCCCTTTTCACTCAGGTCAGTGCTGGGGCACGGTGGGAAAACTGAACAGGCGGGGATGACATGAGGTGGGCATCTGCCACCCAGGAGCAATTTGGAGGAGAGACGACGGGACGTGGGGGTGGCTGGCTGCTCTGCTTCACTGCTGAAGGCCCAGTCGGTCTATGGAGTGACCCGGGTGGGTCCTACTCTAACATTACAAGCTGGGGGCCTCAAAGGCTGAGAATAAGGACACGTCTCCATTTCAGAGAAAGAAGCCCTTTGGTCTCTGCATCTCAACACCATTCACAAATTCCTTTTGCATCTCATCACACAGAGAGGCATTCTCTAATCACTCCAAAATACCTTGCTTTGTTGGGGCTTGTCTCTTAATTAAGAAATAAGTTTGCGTCAGTCATTTTAAGGAGCCAGGTTCATACAGACAGCATCATAAGGCTTTGTGCTTCCACAGAACTTTTTCTCCAAGGGGCTCGGGGCCATCATGCTACCCTCATCCCACTATCTCCCTCTGTCTTGGAAGCTAGTGGATGGTTGGTGAGAGCACAGGCTGGCTCAGAGGACTAGCTAATATTTATTAGCCTCTGGTGTGCACGACCATTCGCATGTGGATCCTGGGCCGTGTCTCCGGGAGATTAAACTCTAAAAGACCTAGAGCCAGACCCAGCATCATTAAAACTGGACCTCGTCAATCTGGGGTGAATAACCAGCAGCCATACCAAAGTGGGGACAAGCAGCCAGAATCAAGAAGGAGCAGGGTTTCCTCCTGCGTTTCGTGGGCTCCGTTGACTTCACATGCAGCTGGGGTGCAGGCTGAGTGCTTGCGTCTCCCATGTCGGAGGGAGACCTTGGAGGGAGCATAAACCCCCTTCAGGGACAGCGTAACCGGTTCCCACCATGGATAGAGTCGACCCAGTACCACTGAGTGTTGATGTCTCAGTCAGTCTAGATGTTAATGTTTCCTACTCTTTCTCCCCCGCAGGGCCCCCGTGCTGCTTGGGCCTTGTACCAGTTGAAGAGGTGGACAGTTCTGACTCCTGCCAAGTGGGCAGAGGAGACTGGTGTCCCCAGCACCCCCCAGGGGCCTACGTAAGACAGGAACCTGGGATGCGGCTCTCTCCCAGCCCACCGGTACATGTGTCCTTTGAAACACCACCTCCCACACTTTAGGCAGAAGCCAATATTCCAGAAAGACTATACATTTTTTTTAAAGAGAAAGAGAAAAAAATGGTATTTATTTTTCTATTATAGCCATATTTATATATTTATGCACTTGTAAATATATGTATATGTGTTTTTATAATTCTGGAGAGACATAAGGAATCCTCCCCTTTGAGGCACAAGAGGGAAAACAAAGAAGCCACAACATTAACGGGAGTCAAGCAGGAACGAGTAACACAGACCGGCCGGAACACAGACTCCTCACTTGGAACCTCTGCAACCGCGGGAGGCTGCAGGAGGCCCACGGAGAAGCCGACGGCGCAGAATCCCGCAGAATCCCGGCTCAGTGTTCACGATGACCACGAGGGAGAGGGAGGGTCCCGGCATCACAGCCTGGAGAACCCGTGAAGGTGGCTGGAGCTGGAGCCACGGGAAGTGTTTTCCTAAGATGCCCATGAGAACAGACTAAGATGTGTACAGCACTATAAGCATTAACAAACCTTCCAGAATCAATAATCTGTGGCAGCGTATCTTTGTAAAAACAAACACTGTAACTTCTAAATAAATGTTTAGTCTTCCCTGTAACCTTCAACTTAGTCATATATGAGTCAGCATTTTCTCTGGATGTTAGAATTCAGCCTTTGAGCGTTTGAAGAAAACACCCACCTGCTTGTAGCATTTTCACATCCATCAAGAGATGAGATCTGGAAGAGGTATCAATTGTTTCTCTCTCTCTCTCTCTCTCTCTTTTGCCTTTTTAAACCTTGAATGCCAGTTGTGTTTTGATTAATGCAAAATGTACTGACTATTTAGTCCAAGAGGGAGATGCTATACAACAGACAAGGAAGGGCAGAGTCCCTCCCAGGTCTCTTACTGACTGGACCTGCGGTAAAGCCGTGGTCATACTGAGGAATGAAACAAAGCTTTTTCGTATAGGTGTGTGTGTGTTGAAGACCAAATATTTTCTCCAAAATACCATTTAGTGGAGTGCTATGCTACCTACACATGAACACATCGTGCGTGATAAATTCACTTCCGTTCTTTCCAAAGATACACCAACACTGCTGGAGTAGTTGACTCACCAGTTTAAAACCAACATTTGCTTACTGTTGTCCAACCAAAGGATCAACCATACATTCTTTTTTAAATTGAACTTCTATCATTTTTTATCTGCAGAACTGGAACTGGATGGAGACTGAAGCTTGCAATGAGAAACTTAACACACTTCAACACGTTTTTGGGGGGGCTGGTCTTGAGGTGGGATGTGTTTTCTAGATTTCAGATATGTTGGGTTACAGATGAAATGCCACTTGAGACACTTACTCTCTTTAAGTCATGCCAGACCCTGGCTTCTAATCACAAAGATTTTGATAAACATGATCCTAGAGAAGGCGGAGGATCCAGTCAGACTCTTGCCTGTTTAGGACAAGTGCACCCCCTGCTGGCCAGAAGGAACGCAGCGCCTGTTCTTCCTTAGACTTTTGTACCCTTTTCCCATAAAACAGCTATGTGGGGTAACTCTTGTGGAAATGTAACATGATTTTCAAAAATGGAAAGCAATATTTAAAAAATATTTTTCAAAATTAAAGTAGAGCAGGGAAGAGAAGAAATAAGATGATTTCAGACACAACCTGGTGTGGAGGGCACAGAGGTCACTTCCTGGAGCAGGCAGGCCTGCTGCTCTCAGTCTTTGCCTCGCTCATCCAGGCACTCCCAACTCTGTCACTGACCTTTTAGCCCACTGGCTCTTTAAAAGTCCCCTTTATTTTTTCTCCTTGATGATCTAAGGTAGTTGTCTTACATCAAGTGAAGTCTGGTAAATTTTTTATTGAAGTGGTACGTAAAACCACTTTCTGCACAGCAAGGGAATCACAATAGCCCTGAATGGCTTTAACTCCTCCTCCTGAAAAAATGTCCTGGGGCAGAAAAAGCACTTCTGAGGCATGTTAAATTAGATAAATGTGTATATTTACCTTAGCCAACTGCAGGAAACAAGGAAAAGTTTAGGAAAACAGGCTTTTACATTTCAGCCCAGAAAATGAAATAGCTCAGATATCCATTTTATTTTGTATTTCTTTAGGTTCTGGTTAATTCTTATCCTAGGGCCTTTGTAAAGTTTCTATTTAGACAGCAAAGGCTTTATAAAGTGCTAAAGGAAGAGTAAGACCTGGTGCTGGGGAGCTGATGGGGGTGGGTGCAGAGCTGAGCTGAGGCTCACAGGCCTCGCAGGGTGGGCCTGTGATAGGACAGGCTGACTTGGGAGAAACAAGTAACTTCTTTTACTTTGAAGGTGCCATAGAGGGACTGGACTCTACAGTTTCTTTTTCTTCCAGTGCTGAGGTTGACCTTCCATGATACTATGGACAAGAGTTCGAAATAGCCAAGGAATATTAACAGTTGACCCACAAGTAACTCGCTGTAGGCTGATTCTGGGCCACACCTCAGAGGTGAGGCTGAGAGCACAGCAGGAGGCAGACAGCAGTGTGACCAAGCAGGACGCTTTCCCTCACCTCCTGGCCACCTCCTGCACACGCTGAACTCTTGTGGTCTTTTTTTTTATTTCAAAATTTTTCCAGGGGTATAAATGTTTAGGTTACATATATTGCATTTGCACCACCCAAGTTAGAGCTACAAGTGTGCCCATCCCGGACCGTGGGCACCACATCCATTAGGTGTGAATTTACCCATCCCCCCTCCCGCCTGCTGATCCCTGATGAAAGTTACTTCCTTATGTGCACATAAGTGTTAATTAATTAGTACCAATTTGCTGGTGAGTACATGTGGTGCTTGTTTTTTCATTCTTGTGATACTTCACTTAGTGGAATGAGCTCCAGCTCCATCAAGGATAATATAAGAGGTGCCATATTACCATTGTCTTTTATGGCTGAGTAGTACTCCATGGTATACATATACCTCATTTTATTAATCCACTCGTATTGATGGGCACTTGGGTTGCTTCCACATCTGTGCAATTGTGAATCGTGGTCTTTTGTTTGAAGCTTAACTTCTCAAAGATTCAGTCTTGAGTCCAGACTAAGTCTGGAATCAAGTACAAATGAAACTAAAGCTACCAAAAATAAAATAATTGAGTGTTAAGTGTTGTCAAATCCCAAACATGATGAATGAAGCCCTAAAATTGTAGAATTAATAGGTGATATAGTATAGTTCAATTTGGGAAAAAATAGTAATCCTGATTAGTTTTACTCTAAGTTAAAATACAAATGAAATCCTTCACATGGCTCTTCTGTAGACTCAATTCATTTTTGCTGCAATTAATATAGAATCACAGAACTTCAGAATGAGAAGGAGCCTCAGAGTTTTTATGGATTCCTCATTTGTCAGACAACAAGTGAAGCAAAGGAAGATTAGGTAACTTCTCCTGGTTCTCAGAAGTACCAAGGGGATAGATTGTAACTCCTCAAGATCTTAAGATCTGTACCCAGGCAGTTATTCGTGTGTAGCCAGCCCCACATGACACCCAGTGAGCCCTATCAGGTATTCCCACATCACACCAGGTTTGCAGTAGTGATGCAGTGTCACTTATGAGAGTAGGTTGTAAAAGACTGTGGCTTCCATCTGGGTTATTCTCTCCTGCTCTTCCCCTCATTCCTGGATCACTCCCTCTGGGAGAGTCCTATTATGGGCAGCCCGATGGGGAGGCCCACATAGTGAGGAACTGAAGCCCCCTGCCAAACACCAAGTGCATGGGTTTGGAAGTAGCTCCTCCAGCTCCAGCCAAGCTTCAGATGGTGGCAGCCCCAGTTCCCAGTATGACTGCAACTCCATGAGAGACCCTGAGCCAGAGACACCCAGCTAAGCTGCTCCCAGATTCCTGACATTCAGAAACCCTGGGGTTTGAGAAAACAGGTAGAGTGAGATAAATTTGTTGTTTCAAGCTAAGTTTTAGGATAAATTTTTACATGGCAATAAATAAGACACTCAAAGCTATGACTAACACATTTTTAAAAACACTTCAAAGGCACATATAGTTTAGGATATACAGCAAAGAAAGTGATAAAAGGGTGCTCTCTAGTAGAGAAGCAATCACATCAGAAATTAAAAGTAACAGGTACAAACAATAAACTATTCTGACCTCTTAAATAGGGATATAAAAGAATCTTAGAGAGACAATAGACCAAGTGGCCACCTCTAAGAATATTCTAACATACAAACAAAACAAGTTCTGTCTATAATTTGGGGAGACAGGTTAGCAGGCTAATCACAGGGTAGGAGGACTTGGTATTGCTGAGTTGCTTTTTATAGTTATGCACTATTGCGTTCTTCACTTTTCCTTCTCAGTGACCAGCTTGTCTTGGGATAGCCTCAGTTGAGTAGCTCATTAATATAGACCCATAGAGCGCTGAATATAAAGTGCTACGCTGTGTTACTAACAGGACTCCAAATGTCAGTGAGATCATTCTTCCATGGTTGCAGCCATGAATTTCAATGATCACTCATCCCCAAACCAAAATTAGTTTACTCTTAAATTAGATACTCTTAAATTAGTTTAAAATGTTATGCAGAATCAAAAGTGATTGTTAGAGATGATCTCTTAGAGGGATGTAAATCTATTTCATTACTTTCTGATTTGTATCAAAACCAGTAAATGACCCAAGTAAAATCTGAAAGAAAAAAAAATGGCACAGGACATGAGAAACTATGGGGAATAGTTAGAATTCTGATGGAGTTGCAAAAATCTTCAGAGAAAAGGCTCCTCGTTGACCATTTTGCAACTGACACTCCTTTGCTCCACTCAGAACTGAGAAGTCTACAAAAACCAGGGGCAATTCAGGAAGCAAGTTACTTTCCTTTCTGCCAACCAAAAGCAAACTGCTCTGCCATGTCTGTCTACATTTTCTGAATCCTGAGTCCTTCAAATAACTGCTTTATGAAGTTGACTCTGCCAAAATTTAAATTTGCATTTCTTATTTTATGATATTGTTGGCAAAAGAATTTGCCTTTTTTTCTTGCATTCTCTTAGGGAATACTAAATAACATCAATGTTTATTTTCTAAGGATGCAAGTATCAAGAAAAGGAAGTTTTCTCGTGGACTGTTGAATGATAGTTTTTCTTGCCAATGGCTAAAAATTCAGAATACCTGAAAATCGAAATTTCCTAAAACAAAATATATGACAGATGCTTTCTTGCAATTGTGAGATATAGTTTTGTAACACTTCATATTCAATCTATAATATATAGTAGGTCCCAAACATCTAATATGGTTCAGTTCTATAATAATTAAATGTTGGGTGCTTCATTCACTTCTAAGATAACCAAATTGGAGAGAAATTTTTAAAACTGCACGACTGGATCTGTTTTTAGACTTTTAGGGTAAGTTCACCTTAAAAGAATAGGATTGCTGCCGGCGATAAGGAAACAGAACTTCTGTGAATTATATCGAAAATTTTGGATGGGTTTTGAAAAAAAAACAGCAAACTCAAAGGTCTGTGGGCCCCATCTCATTCTCTTGTGAGGGCCGAATGGGTGGGAGAATAAGGCCACCTTTCTTACGCAGAAGAGTAATCTCCTCCTTTAAGGCTGAAATCCTTTCTGCCTGGGCTTGGATCAATTCCGTAATCTTCTCCTTTGCC